CACTTCTTACTGCTGATTGGCTACAAGTTTGTTTTGGTACTCGGCCTGACTCAGTTTTCTAAAGCGTTTTTGAAAAAAATACATACCCCACATTTAATGTTCCGCGTGTTTACTACACACATACTGAAGTGCGCCTGAAGCTCGCAGTGTTTTCAGCCTCTGCTACCTCAGTATATGAGTACATGAACACATAAACATAATCTCTAGAACTGCTCTGAGTCACTTCATGAGCATTTTACTTATTTTGAGAAAACTATCTCATATCATATATACAAAGAGACGCCAATGTTTCAAAAAGACACCAATGTTTCAGGAGTTTAGTACACAGAATAGGACGCATGCTTATTACATAACCGTATTTGAGTTGATGTATATGCTTTTATTTATTATTATTTTTTAATTAACTATTTTTTCCAAACCACTGTTAGATGCAGTGTTTCCTGTAGTTATGCAAAGATTTGGTTTCAAAAACAGTATCAGTATACTATTTCTTATTATTTTAAATCTGTATTGAACTTCAGATCAATCTCAAAGTAAAAGGTGGTACTAAAGTCTGATTTTGTGGTGGATGTGTTCAAATTTGATCATCTTAATTCAAGTGAGGACGGATTTTGAAAGTCTGAGCACTACTGTAAGGTTAACCCTGCATGGTGTAAATGTTGGAAAATTATTAACAGTTGCAAATAAACATTCATTAGAAATTTAGAAAAGTAATCAAAAAGTCATCAAAAGTAATCAGTTACATTACTTTAATAAAGTAACTGAAAAAGTTACACTACTATTACATTTTGAATAGGGTAACTAGTAATCTGTAACCTATTACATTTCCAAAGTAACCTTCCCAACACTATGTGGGAATATTTGCATAATGCGCCCAAATGTTCAAACAAAGAAAGAACGCGTGGTTTCAGTAACCGCAGTTAGTGTTGAAGCAGCATGTCAGGGATTTTTTACGGTAAAATTCCGGCAACCACAGCTGTCGGTCTTTTACCGTAAATTTTACAGAATTTTTTTTACAGTGTAATTAAATGTGTTACTTGCACATTTTTTGTAATTCTGAAACTTTCTATCAATTTCTGAGTGAAAATTGTTTGTGTAAAAATCTAATTCAAAATTGAATAAATATGTATTAACCTAATTTATGTAATGTAATTGTTACAATTCCTGTGTCCTATCATTCAATTCAAATTCACAGCCATTTCTTCATTTCGCACATCTCTGCCTCAAACACTCACTCTCACAGACACCTTGATAGTATAATATCTCACGGTTTTCTGTCTCAGTTTCATCTGAATCCTGCTCAGTCTCTGGTGGTGATGGAGGGAGAGGATCTGGAGCAGATGATGGCCGCACTGAGGAAAGTTTCTTACATCAACTCTCGGCAGTTTCCCACCAAGGAAGCGCGTCATCTCCGGATCTCAACGGCAGTGCAGTAAGATTATAAATATTCACGAGATCTCATCTCTGAACTATAATACTAGAATTTTAGCTCTGGAATACGGCAATATAAATGATCAAACCATTTATATCTGGTTGCACAGTTCTGATTTGCATCCCAGAGTCATGCGAGAGCTTAATTTTAATCTGTGCTTCGACCCAGGGCTGGAAAAGTTATTAAAACTGTATCCTACTGAGTGTAAACTTTTTTTTTAATTGTAAATAACACAAAGATTATTGGAGTATGTTTTAAATGAAAATACTTTCTAATTTAAAATTTGACATTTAATTCAATGTGTTACTTGTCCTTTCTTATATTTAAAGGTGCTTTATGTTTTTTTTGACTGTACTAAACATAAAAATACCATAATATGTTTGCAGATATTTAGGAAACATGTTAAGTCTACATACTTGTTTCCACCGAAAAACAATGCTACAGTTATTCTACTTTGAAATGTGCGTTTTGTGTCAGAATGTCTGTTTTTGTTTCGGAGCTCTTTGAGCAGAGTAATATTAAAACGCAGATTGTGTGTCCTCAATCTGGCAAACTTTTTCCACTATAAAGAACACTGGAACAGTTCCATTAATGTTAAAGGTTCTTCATAGAACCATCCATGCCAATAAGAACCTTTATTATTAAGTGTATTTGTAACTAGATTTGTACATTTTCTGCTAGCTAGCTGCTTGCCGGTTGCTTACTGACTATTTCAAATCCCTATTGTATACTATAAGCAGTACTAACCCTTATTGTAACCTTTTCACTTATTCTGTTCTTATCTAATTCATATTCAATGCTTAGGGAGGTTTAATTTTTATGTACAGACAGGGAAATGCAAAGAGAATGACAGAGAGATTTGTTTTTTGGGACACAATTGCACCCACTGGCACCCCATGATTCTTCAAAAAAGATCATGAATATGCATAAGCCTCTAGAGGTTTATGACCCGCCCCTCTGAGGCTTAAGCACAGCCAGTGGGCGGAGTTCCTTCAGCAAAGAGCAACAGAGAATTAGCATGAAAACACACACACAACACTGAAACATACATAATAGAGCAATTAAGTATTATATTACTGTAAGACATATAATTGAACTCTAGCTTCTCTCATTCTTAAAACTTGCTGATCACAGACTTATATTAAGATAAACATGTTGTGTTTTGCATAATTAGTAACTTTTTTCTAAAAGTAATTTACACAATTAATTTACACTTCTGCAAAGTAACAGATTGCTTCTCAAGGAGACAAACACTGTGCAAAAACTCAGAATTAAAGGAAACACAATATTACCTTGGCATAAAAGTACTGTAAACATGAAAAAGCGAGAGTGTAGACCTATGGGGGCAGAATTATTTTTGTTATGAACAGATAAAATGCAATATTACTTTGTTTAAAGAAATAAAAAAGAAAATACACTAAAACTTGTTTTAAATGCTACAAGTGAATTTAGGGTGAATTATGAATCATAATTCACATTATTTTGGTCAACATTGAGATCCTGATTATTTATTTACTAACATCATTCATTTATTGAACTTTTCAATTTTTTTTTTTTTTTTTTTTACAGTGGGTTTCCAATTAAAAAACTAAAACTAAAAATGTACAAAATGTAGACATATTTAAATAATAATAATAATAATGACAAAAATCTACAACAAAATTACTAAAACTTTAACTAAATTAAATCAAAAACAGAATTATACTTAAATAATACTGTTTCAGAGAACCATATAGCCAAATTAAAAACCTTATACAGACAAAACAGCTTCAGAATATGTAAATTAATAGCTGTCGAGAATTGAGGAATCTTTTGTTGTTTGTTTGATTGTTTCATCAAGGCTGTCATCATGAATGCACAAGCATGTAGCAAAAATTCAGCTATATTATTATATGACATTTGATTGTCCCCAATTTCTGAATTTTAGAGAATAATAATGATGATGATGATGATTCTTCTTCTTCTTTGGATCTAGAATTCTCAAAGGTGCATCTTAAATTGTAAGTTTAAAAGAAGCAGTGGCACCTGGTTCAAATTTTTTTTTACAGGGGGTTTCCAATTAAACAAAAACAAATATATGTACACATTTATTTAATTAATTTAAAGATAATAAATTAAAATAAATTAGATCAAAATAAATCAGATCAACTATGTTGTATTGCACATCCACAGTGCTCTACAAAATGTTTGATCTAATTTATTTTGGTATTATTATTTATTTTTATATCATATTTTTAAGTACTGAATTACTGATAGTATTAGTAATCATTCCAGTAAAAAAATTACTAAACATTTATTTATTATTACTAAACGTCACTGCAAAAACTAATTTCGCACAATAATCATTTTATCTCAATTATTTTATTAATAACGGTTGGAAGCCAAAAATGTAAATAATAATAATAAAATAAATAAATACATTTAAAAAATTTGCATATCGCCCAGCCCTACATGCAGCACAACACTACAATATTACAAAAACAATATAAATTTTTATAATACAACACAATATATTACAATATTTTTTTTTATTTTGAGACTTGCTAAAGATTACATTTAACAGTAGTATTAAATTAATATTGTTGTGAAAGATTTATTAGATTTTAACTTTAGGTGAACAATAAATTATAGCAAAAAAAGGCATATAAATGTAAAACTAAGAGGAAATCATCATTCAAAATGAAATATTCAATAATGAACAATAAAGTTTACACTTGGCTCCTTCAGTGCCATGTTGGAATATGTTCATGTGTTTAAACAGATGTGAGGCAAACATCCAGGTTTAGTGAATGGCAGAATGCCTCATCCTTATTTCACCGACTGCCATTCGAATGCATGAATATTATCATAGAAAATCCATGCATATGTTCAACACACATCGCCCTGAGAAACAATTAACATCCAAATATAGGGCTAAAGATGTCATATAGCATGCATCGTTTGGTCATCATCAGTCAATCGTCACAGATTGTAAAAGAATAAGTAAAATCATATTTTAGTTTAAACCAACTGTATCTTATAGCAAACAGTTGTTTTCACAATGAAATATGGATTCATCTCTTCAAGCCTCGGCGTATCGAAACCTTCAGTCACAGATGGTTTCCTCCATTCATTTCCTGTCTGTTGATGAATGTGAGTGTTTGTTTGCGTCAGGATTAAGAACAACATCTTTAATTAGAGAAGGCGGATCTGTGTTCATTTGTGGATAATGGACTTCCTACTTCCTGTCGTTCAGAGCTGCTTCACGGTGGTGAAATCACTAGAGTTGTAAATTAATTCTAGTAAACACTGTTTGTGTTTTGCTTTTAAGCTTATTAAGTCCAATTACTGCGAGATGCAAGAAAGCTGAAGTGTTATTAATTCACTCCAGGCGTAGGTTTTCTCTTTGTGTGAAGTTATCAGCGCTGCAGTCTCTGTAATGAGTTGGGAACAGCTCCAAGTGATTTGTTTACACTCTGCACATCACTGTCGAAAGCTTCTTATTATTTATATCCAAGTGGAGATGTCTTCACCTCTGAGGGAGTGCTTGCAGGACCCAAAACTAACGTTATGCCCCATCTGCCAATAACAAGTGAACTGAGAAAAGCTCTAAATATCAGGTTAGATATTATAGTCAACTAAAACTAAAAACCATTAAACGATATTTGCTACTTGAAATAAAAAACTCGAACTGAAATAACTTAAATGAATATTACACATGTTGCAAATTAAGGCAACATTTCTCATTTTCATTTAGTTTATCTTGATGTACTAAAATAACTAAACCTAAAAAATAATGAAAACTATAGACATATTTAAAAATAAATAAATAAAACTGACAAAAACACACAACAAAAATTTTTAAATTAAAACTTTAAAATTTTAATTAAAACAGAAAATATAAAAAAATAGAATAAAAATAGAATAAAAAATCTAAATATTAATAAAAACCATAATAGTATCCTAATGATACTAAAATAACCCTGTTAAATATTTCTTACATGTGATGAAGTATTTTGCATTATATAATTATAGCCAAAATTAACTTTATGCCTCATTTGCCAATTTCAAGTAAATTGAGAAAGTTTATCAGCTCTAAATATTTCTTGCATGTTATGGAAAATATTACATATTGTAATATATATATATATATATATATATATATATAAACATGATAAAAGATGCATGTGTCAGACTGTAACTTTAGTGATTTAACTCATGCATATGTTGCAGTTCCTAATAAAATCACTGGCAATATGGCAATTGGTACATTACTTTTGGGTCCTGTGTGTGTGTCTGTATCTAAAATAACACTCAAAAGTGAAAGAATATGTTGTTGTGTTTGTGATCTCTGCAGGTGTTTCGGGGAGGATGTGTGTATTTCTGTCCCTGATATTGAGGCAGTTGTCATGGTAATGCAGCCTAGTGAACCACGCATCATAATCACTGGGGCGGAGCACCTGACAGTCCCCGCCTCTGTCCTTGCCCTCGGCCTATCCCTGTTCAGAGATTTGCATATCATCAGCACAGTTACAAAAAGCGCCAAACAGACAAACACAGGTACAGAGAATTAGTTCTAGAATCACCTTACTTATCTTAACATAATAATTTGGTCAAATGAAAAATCTGTCATTATTTACTCCCCTTCATATCATTATAAACTTAAAATTGAATTTACATATTGTAGTGCTTATTCAAACCTGTCTTGACCCACCATATTGAATATACAGGAATGAGAATGTGTTTTATCATCATTTTTGGAGCTTGACAGGATCCATTCTATGCCAAAGTGTAGAAAGCATCCTTCTCAACTTTTCCTTGTTTGTTGAACAAAAGAGAGAAAGCCAAAGACATGAGGGAGAGTAAATGATGACAGATTTGTCCTTTTTGGCTGAAGTATTTCTGCAACAAAAACACTCCTGATGAAAACAACCCACAAAGAAAGTCCCCAAACGCTGCACAGAGCACATTATTCACTGACAAACCACAGGTGTAATGCTGTTTTGGTGGCAAACAACAGT